CAGTTACCTCACCGTGAAGACAACTTGCAGTTTAACTTTTTTCATTTTTTTTACTTTTATTTTTGTTTTATGTGACTGGCATTCCATCTGCCTAGAGAGATTGCACTAACACCTATTTTTATCGTCATATAAATTGGAGGCCTGTCCAAAGAGCCTCGCTCAGGTAATGCTTTTAAACACTTCACTTAAAGTTGTGGTAACTGTACTTGGCTTTATTACAAGTTTAACTTTTCAGAACTCTTATTCTTTGAATAATTTTAATGGTGCTTCACACTGTTTACTTTCCAGATGTAGCATTATATGATTGTTGTATGACTTTGGATTTCGTGGTGTCTGGTGGCCACAGTCATACTCGTGATTGGTTGATCCATAATCTTTGTTATAGCCTGTGATTTCCACCTTATTTTCATCCCTACGGGAGAGTTCTCATTCAGGCAGATCACCCCCTGTGGTACCCTGGTACTTTGGTCTGTCTCCGGGTCAAGTACGCCCACGTCTTTGCAACCCGAACGTAGGAGGATATTGAGGGCCAAAGTTCCTCTCGCACAGATTATGCTGTAAGGTTGAGAGCCCTACAAGCAGTTCTCGTCATTAATTGACACTTCAGAGATATGGTACTTACACAGGTAGGTAGTTAACATTCTTTTCCAGAGCACAAAGTGTGTTAACTCTGTAAGTACTATCTAGTTATAGTAGGAAACCTCTTACCTTTGTTCTCGTCATTTAGAGAAGGCAAGAAATCCCTACTTTTTTGGACTACCTTCGAGACAACTGTCTCACAATTGTAGTAGGATCCCTCTTGCCCTTATCCTCATTATATAGAGTACCTGGTACAAAATTCCCTAGTTCCTTGAAACACTTAGTTTCATTTTTGATCTTGATCACTTATTAAAGTTAATTGTAACCTTGACTATTAAGTTTAAACAGGATAGTTTACCATTGCCACGTCATCCTGTCACTCTGACATTTCATATTTTGATACATCCACTTGGGTATTCTCGTGCATATATTTGCTATCATTCACCATGTTTCGTCTTTCCATATTCAGACAGAATCCAAACGATGAAGTGGGCACACTACATTGTGCCACCAAGGCAGAGATGCTGACTCTAGTAAATGAGTACAACCTTATGGCCCCACAAGGAGCAACTAAAGCTGATTTACACAACCTCATATTGGATCATCTATTAGACAATGATGCTATTACACCTGAATCTCATGAATATTACTTAATTGCAGAGAAAAACACCTTGGCAGCCATGAGACTGAAGCTAGAACTCGCTAACGCCGAACGTGATCGTCTGAGGGAACAAGCTGCTCTGCAAAGAGAAGCTCTTCAGCTCCAGAAAGAACAAGCTGCCCTAGAACGTGAGCGGGAACAGGAACAGCTAGAGTTAAAAGAACGTGAGCTGGTGATACAACGTGAACACTATAAGAAACAAGCCTCCAGTGCTCTAAAGCAACGACGTAGAGAGCTGGACTTGGAAACTACACACCACACTCGGCGCTAGCAAGCAGAAGCTACCCTTCTGGTATGTTTTAACTTTTCACATGCAATTAAGTTGATGCCATCTTTTGTTGAAGCAGGGGTAGATGTCTTTTTTTTATTTCATTTGAGGCTCTGGCTAACCAACTTAGCTGGCCTCAGGATCAGTGGTCTGTGCTTCTTAGGTCTCATTTAACAGGTAGAGCTGCAGTGACTCTCAGTACTATAGCGTCCGAAACCAACTACAAGGTACTGAAACAGGCAGTGCTCGATGCCTACCTCCTCTCCATATAGACCTATAGACGTAAGTTCAGGGATTACCTTAAAGCAAGTGCTACCACTTATCTAGAGTTTGCAAATAACAAAAAGCGATATTTTATTTAGTGGCTGGAAGCCGCACAAGTCTCGACCTTTACAGATCTCGTCAACCTCATCCTGGTGGAAGAATTCCTTAGGCGTGTTCCTAATACGTTCCTAATAATCCAATACGTCTCGACTTAGCCGACAGGGAAGAAACCAACCTTACTAGATGTGCTCAATTGGCTGATTCCTACAGTCTTATTCACAGAGTACCATCCGACACACCATCTAGTAAGACCTCCTGGTTTAGTCCTGAAAAAGTGAGTACCAGTAATGTGAACTCCTCGTTGTATTGCAATTATTGCAAAGACTATGGGCATACCATAGAAAAGTGTACCAATCCTCACTGAAAGTCAGCCATGAGACTAAGCCCAAATCACCTCCTCCAAAAATTCATAAAAGTCCGAAGCCTGTAATGAATATTTATGTTTCATCCACTGATCTCTCTCTCTTCAACAGACACTTGTACTCTGGAACAGTCTCTGCCAGCCATGGAGATTCGGAGGAAAGTTTCAAAGTAAAGATCTTGAGGGACACAGCTGCTCTACAATCTATTCTTCTGAAATCAGCTGTACCCAACGTCACCTACACTGGAGAAACTGTCCTCATCACGGACCTTACTGCCACTAATCCATATCCACTTGCCAGAGTTCGCCTGGATTGTCCGTTTATGAAAGGTGAAGTCCAAGTTGCCATCCGGGAAAAGCCTTTTCCCATGTCAGGAGTTCAACTTCTCCTGGGCAACAACTTGGCAGAAGATCAACAACCTGTGAATTTAATCATCACGGAAGATCCCCAGGTATGTGACTCAGCAGTGGAAAATCCTATCTTCCAGTTTGTTAAAACAGAGGTCCAAGCAACAGATTCTGACGATGTCTTCCCTCCTGTTATGGTGACGAAGCGGGCCACAGCTGCTCGCCTGAAACCAGCTGCTGCAGCTGTTCCACGAGATTCTCAGAGCCTCTTACCGAATCTCACCAATGCTGGAGTTCCGTAAGTTGAAGAGAGGGGGATCCCTCCTTAACATCTTTATTCTTACAGGCTGAGGCACAACCTAACTCTAGCCCTGGTTTCTTTGTAGAAAATAAAGTGTTATACCGGCACTATAGAACCAGGAAATGGAAGGAGGACGACGAACGGGCCAACATCAACCAACTGGTAGTTCCCAACAGCCTACCATCAGATATCTTGTGTCTGGTCTGGGGATCTCGTTCACACTACAGGTTTTATAAGACCTACGAGGCCCTGAAACAGGACTACTACTGGCCAGGTATGATTTGAGATATTAAACACCTTGTCAAGAATTGTCACATGTCTCAGATGACAGGTAAGCCGAACGCTCCTCTATTAAAGGCACATTTGATATAGGTACCCGTGTCTTCTGAGCCGTTCAGCTGTACCATCAACAACTATGACGAGCCTCTGTCCCAGACAAGCTCGGGTAACGTTTCTATGTGTTCTATTCCGTGTTCTACCATCAGGTATTCTACAGCAGTTTCCGTCCAGAACAGTACGGCTTCTAACGTTGTGAAGCCCCTCGGGAAGCAGTGCTCGCAGTATGGACATCTCCAGGAAAGTCAGAACAAGTGTGATACCATCTCCTCCAACGACCTAAGAAAGACAACCAACATCACCAAGGTATTGTCTAATCCTTCTTGTTGTACTTGGTCTGACTACAATGGTTCTAAATTCTTGATCTATTCCAACACCAGGAAAGATCCTTTTCTCTACGAACCAAATCCAAATAAACGTGCTCCTCCAGACAACTTTATCAGCCCACAGCTAAAATATTGTAAGACAAACTTACCTTTCATTGCATTTGAAAGGCGTAAATCTTTGTCTTGTACTAACTCCATTCTCACCCTGCCAGGTATTAGAAAACCTTCAGTCTTCCACCCTGGCGATAGGAACACCATCATACCGCAGCGAGATCGGATCATACACTCCAACTACAGTTGTCAGAGAGGAACCACTCAACATCCTGCCCTGCATGCAACACAACAAACCATCCAATCTATTAGGTTACAACTTCAACCTCTCCTTGGACTTCCCCTGTCATATCCTACAGTTACCTCACCGTGAAGACAACTTGCAGTTAAACTTTTTTTTTTTTTCCTTTTTTTTTTTTTTATGTGACTGGCATTCCATCTGCCTAGAGAAACTGCACTAACACCTATTTTTCTCGTCATATTTCTAAGACTGCATCCCCCGGAACGTGTTCATACTAATGACCAGTGACGAATACTACCCCCTACCCAGAGACAAACAGAAGAGTAAGAAATCCCCCAGCTGACTCCAAGGGCGGACAAGTACCAAGCAGTAATTGACACAACAGAGATAGCTCCTAAGGCAACTTGTGGAAGGAGGCACCAAGCCCCAAGGGCAATACTTACAGGGCACTTAGGGAAGGGTACCCTAAGCGCATGCAGCCCAAGTACTTGTGAATATACTCCCATCTCGCACACCACTAAGGCAAGAACAGAGAAGAAAAGCCGGAACTGGAGGTACACAACCGAAGCCCACTGACATCAGTTAAGAACCAACACACTTGGGTAGCTGGTGGGGGTCTGGGGTTTCCCCTTCCCTCTCCTGGGGAGGGGGTGGGGGGGTGTGCAAATGGCAGTGCGTTGGAAACGAGATGACGTCATGTTTGTTGGATCGTTTTTCTTCATCGAGTTCTATCCTCTCGTTCGATGTTTGGTAGCATATCTTCACCAGAATGGGGGGGGGGGTGTTTTGGGGCACCTATCTTTCTGGGTGCCTGACCCAGTCAATGGCAGACAATTAGTACTTCTAAACCATATATAAGGTGTGTCCATAGGTCATTGCTCCTTGCACCTCTCTGAGGGGTGCCAGAGTTTTAGGTAGGTCTAGAACTCCATGTACATTGACTGATGTTCAAAGCTTATACATCCGTATCGACCAGACAGCCCTGGGGAGCCGAAGGGGGCTCCCCCCAGAAAATTACAAAGTACTGGGAAGATGAGACACCTTGAGCATAGCTCTCATCCTGTATCTACACTTAGGTAAAAGAATGAAGGAGGTCTTAGGAGCTAAAGCTCAATCCAGCAAGCAAAACTTTACACAATTATCTACAGAAGCATGTGCATGCTCTCACCATTTCCCAGCACTAAACTTAAAATCAACTACTTACCGGGAGGTCTGGGGGGTCGATCTCTGGGGTGGCCCAGACAAGTGTGGTAATACCCCGGGAAGAGAGCTCATTGGCATTGATGGCCCGGGCCGGGCCAACCCAAAGACCCGCCCACACACAGCTGAGAACCTGCACTTCCAAAGGCCCTGTCTCCATCATGCCGTCTCTACTCTCCAAACAGAAAATTAAATATGAATTATGATCAAATACAGAAACTGAATACAGTACATTATGTGAATATGCTCATATATATATTATTTTTAAAATAAGAAAAATGGGGCTTGTTCATTAAAATAAAAATAGCAATAGCAACATTCATATACTATAATTAGTAGCTGTAGTAATAGTGTGCAATAGCAACTCACTGAAGCAAAAACACCCCAATACAGGAGCTATACAAAACAAATCAAGAACACAAACTATACAACAACCAATAGCAGCAGATATACAATAGTAACCAACTGCAGCAGCAGCAGCTGTACCACAGCAACCTTGAGCAGCAGCTGTATCACAGCAACCTGCAGCAGCAGCTGTACCACAGCAACCTGCAGCAGCAGCTCTACCACAGCAACCTGCAGCAGCAGCTCTACCACAGCAACCTGCAGCAGTAGCTCTACCACAGCAACCTGCAGCAGCAGCAGCTGTACAACAGCAACCTGCAGCAGCAGCAGCTGTACAACAGCAACCTGCAGCAGCAGCAGCAGCAGCTGTACAACAGCAACCTGCAGCAGCAGCAGCAGCAGCTGTACAACAGCAACCTGCAGCAGCAGCAGCAGCAGCTGTACAACAGCAACCTGCAGCAGCAGCAGCAGCAGCTGTACAACAGCAACCTGCAGCAGCAGCAGCTGTACAACAGCAACCTGCAGCAGCAGCAGCAGCTGTACAACAGCAACCTGCAGCAGCAGCAGCAGCAGCTGTACAACAGCAACCTGCAGCAGCAGCTGTACAACAGCAACCTGCAGCAGCAGCAGCTGTACAACAGCAACCTGCAGCAGCAGCAGCTGTACAACAGCAACCTGCAGCAGCAGCAGCTGTACAACAGCAACCTGCAGCAGCAGCAGCTGTACAACAGCAACCTGCAGCAGCAGCAGCTGTACAACAGCAACCTGCAGCAGCAGCAGCTGTACAACAGCAACCTGCAGCAGCAGCAGCTGTACAACAGCAACCTGCAGCAGCAGCAGCTGTACAACAGCAACCTGCAGCAGCAGCAGCTGTACAACAGCAACCTGCAGCAGCAGCAGCTGTACAACAGCAACCTGCAGCAGCAGCAGCTGTACAACAGCAACCTGCAGCAGCAGCAGCTGTACAACAGCAACCTGCAGCAGCAGCAGCTGTACAACAGCAACCTGCAGCAGCAGCAGCTGTACAACAGCAACCTGCAGCAGCAGCAGCTGTACAACAGCAACCTGCAGCAGCAGCAGCTGTACAACAGCAACCTGCAGCAGCAGCAGCTGTACAACAGCAACCTGCAGCAGCAGCAGCTGTACAACAGCAACCTGCAGCAGCAGCAGCTGTACAACAGCAACCTGCAGCAGCTGTACAACAGCAACCTGCAGCAGCAGCAGCTGTACAATAGCAACCTGCAGCAGCAGCAGCTGTACAACAGCAACCTGCAGCAGCAGCAGCTGTACAACAGCAACCTGCAGCAGCAGCAGCTGTACAACAGCAACCTGCAGCAGCAGCAGCTGTACAACAGCAACCTGCAGCAGCAGCAGCTGTACAACAGCAACCTGCAGCAGCTGTACAACAGCAACCTGCAGCAGCAGCAGCAGCTGTACAACAGCAACCTGCAGCAGCAGCAGCAGCTGTACAACAGCAACCTGCAGCAGCAGCAGCAGCTGTACAACAGCAACCTGCAGCAGCAGCAGCAGCTGTACAACAGCAACCTGCAGCAGCAGCAGCAGCTGTACAACAGCAACCTGCAGCAGCAGCAGCTGTACAACAGCAACCTGCAGCAGCAGCAGCTGTACAACAGCAACCTGCAGCAGCAGCAGCTGTACAACAGCAACCTGCAGCAGCAGCAGCTGTACAACAGCAACCTGCAGCAGCAGCAGCTGTACAACAGCAACCTGCAGCAGCAGCTGTACAACAGCAACCTGCAGCAGCAGCTGTACAACAGCAACCTGCAGCAGCAGCTGTACAACAGCAACCTGCAGCAGCAGCTGTACAACAGCAACCTGCAGCAGCAGCTGTACAACAGCAACCTGCAGCAGCAGCTGTACAACAGCAACCTGCAGCAGCAGCTGTACAATAGCAACCTGCAGCAGCAGCTGTACAATAGCAACCTGCAGCAGCAGCTCTACAATAGCAAACTGCTGCAGCAGCTATACAATAGTAAACTGCAGCAGCAGCTATACAATAGCAAACTGCAGCAGCAGCTATACAATAGCAAACTGCAGCACCAGCTATACAACAGCAAACTGCAGCAGCAGCTATACAATTGCAACCTGTATCAGCAGCTATACTATAGCAAACTGCAGCAGCCACTGTATAATAGCCAACTATAGCAGCAGCTATACAATAGCAAACTGCAGCAGCAGCTGTACAATAGGAAGCTGCAGTACAGCAGCAGCTGTACAATATAAAGCTGCAGTACAATTTCAGCTGTATAATAGGAAACTGCAACTGCTGCAGAAATATTGTAATATACCTGGATTGTACCTGAAAGGGATTCTGGGAGTTGTTCTATTCCCCAAGCTCTGCCTGATGCCTGGCTTGACTTGTGAGAGTTTCATCCAACTGGCTCTAGCCCGCAACCCACAGGCCCGCAGGCACACACATCCACCATAGCCCAGTGTGTCTGACACTTCTTGAAGAAGACTATACAGTTGTCTCCTTACATCTACTTTTGTTCCGGCAATATTTCTCATACTTGTTGGATGTTGAATAACCAGGAACCTCGGATGTTTATACCGTATTCTCTGATTGTGTTTATGGCACCTCTGCTCTTCACTGGTTCTATTCTGCATCTCCTTCTATATCTCCTTAACTACACTATGCTATAATTTTACTGTGTAGATTTGAGACCTGGCCCTGCAGTACTTTCCATGTGTATATTACAGTATTTGATACCTCTCTCGTCTCCTTTCTAGAGCTAGAGTACATTTAGAGAGCTTCGAGATGATCCCAATAATTTAGGCTCTTTATCGTGTCTATGTAAGTTCCAGCTCATGCGCTATGGAAAAAATGAAAATATAAAAACGGAAACCACGTACAAAACTCAGGCAAATCATAACATAGAACGAAAAGGCAATGTAAAGGATCTGGGTGTACTCATGTCGGAAGACCTTACCTTTAAAGAACACAATAAAGTAGCTGTCACAACTGCAAGAAAAATGACAGGTTGGATAACAAGAACTTTTCACACTAGAGATGCTATACCGATGATGATACTTTTCAAAACGCTTGTGCTCTCTAGAGTGGAGTACTGCTGCACAATGACAGCACCTTTCAAAGCTGGAGAAATTGCTGACCTGGAGAGCATGCAGAGATCCTTTTCTGCTAGAATCCACTCAGTAAAACATCTAAACTATTGGGACCGACTAAAGAGCCTAAAACTGTACTCCCTTGAGCGCAGGCCCCCGTTGAAAAACAGAGGTACAACTGGTACTCTGAGAAAGAACTCTATCAACATCAGAGGTCCGAGACTGTTCAACACGCTTCCACTACACATAAGGGGCATAACTGGCCGACCCCTCACAGTGTTCAAGAGAGAACTGGATAAGCACCTCCAAAGGATACCTGATCAATCAGGCTGTGACTCATACGTCAGGCTGCGAGCAGCCGTGTCCAACAGCCTGGTTGATCAGTCCGGCAACCAGGAGGCCTGGTCGACAACCGGGCCGCGGGGACGCTAAGCCCCAGAAGCACCTCAAGGTAACCTCAAGGTAAGGTATGTATGCCATATATGTTCTTTGTATCAATAGTACAAACATTGTGATGGGATCCATGGATTTGAAGGTTCTCGTAATCCATCCATCATTTTTCCTGGCTGATGCTATATTTGCTTGGTTGTGCTCCCTAAATGTTAGGTCATCAGACATCATTATTCCCAGATCCTTTACATACTGCTTTTCTACAATGGGCAGATTGTCTGTGTTTGTATCCTGTATATTGTTCAAGGTCCTCATTTTTACCGTACCTGAATACCAGGAATTTATCACTGTTAAGCATCATTCTATTTTCTGCTGCCCAGTTGAAAACTTTATTAATATCTGCTTGTAGTTTTTCAATGTCATCAACAGAAGTAATTTTCATGCTGATCTTTGGTTCATCTGCAAAGAATGATACAAAGCTGTGACTTGTATTTTTGTCTATATCTGATATGAGAATAAGTTAAAGTAGTGGTGCAAGGACTGTACTCTGAGGTAGAGATTTTAACTGGACTTGGACTATTTCTTTTGGTTATCTGTTACTCTTTGTGTTCTGTTTGACAAAAAACTGAATACTGTACATTATAGTTACAGTGATAGAACAGTCAATTGCAGAAGCAACTATACAACAGTTGAATCAAGATTGATGAAGAAATGGACCATGGAGTCAAAATTCACCACTCAATAAAAGTTGCACAACAGGTAGGAGCAGCAGTCAGAAAAACTAATCAAACCCATGGAATAATCAAGTGTACTTTTGACCCTGGGAAAAAGAAGGTAATGATTCAACTATATAAATCTCTGGTGCACCCCCATTTGGATTACTGTATCCAAGCATGGAGACCCCATTTTCAGAAGGACATAGCTGCTCAAGAGAAGATGCAACACCGGGCAATGGAATCCCTGGTTGAGGGCCACAGGCCTAATAACACTGCAAACCAGGCATGACAGGGCAGATCTCAATGAAACTTTTAAAATAATAAACAAGTTAGAGGATGTTGATCTGGACAATTTCATCAAAGGTCAGATGTAACACAAACAAGGAGCTTTCAGGTTTCAGGCTCAACAAACCACAATGTAGGACTGAGAACAGGAGACGCTTTTTCACCCACAGGGTTATGAACCCATAGAACAGCCTTCCCGCTGAAACTGTAAATGCCAAAACTGTGTTAAGTTTAAAAACCTACCTGGAAAAGATCATCAAGGCAAATGGGAGGGGGGACCTCTGACAAGCTGCCAGCTTCCTGTCACCATCAAGGCCACTAGGGTTAGTGGCCCTTAGGTAAATCGGGTAAATCAGCTATACAGTACAACATTGGCCAAAGCCAATGGTGACTGACTTTCTCTGGATGCAACCCACAATAGTTGCCTAATCTCTAGGTTCCTATTTACTGCTAAGTGCAGAGACATCATGTGTAGGAAAATGTGCCAAAACCTCTCTCTGCCTGGGAATCAAATACATGTGTATTTAGTTGGAAGTAAGCTACACTGACCACTGAGTAACATGACCATATATGCATGATTTAATATAAATTTTACAGTAATAAGAGTGGCATAAAAATTTCATATTCATAGGTTTATTTTATTATTAACCCAATACCTATATTGTATAGGTGGCAGAAACATATGTATGACTTCACATATACAGTATATGACTTCAGGAATGGCATTTACTTGAGGGCCACCAACTATTTAGTGCCTCTATGGAAACAGGAAGCTGGTGGCCCTCCTCCTGATTGTTCCTGAGGATTTTTTTTCCATCTGGATTTTGACCTGAAGTAATGCCTGTGCATTACAACATTTACTAAAATGTGTTTGTACTTGTCTATCATGGAACCTACACATTTCATTCAGTGGGTGGCTGGTTAACTTGGGTTTTATTTGACTAAGATTTTAATTATGATATCATTTTAGATTATTATTTAGTCCTTTTTGTAATATTAGAGTTAATCATTTCTAAATTATATTTGAATCAAAACAATTTGAAAAGCACTGCAAGTTCATGCGCATGTGATTATCTAAGTGATTATTCTTAATTTACTAGTGACTTCCAACAGTCAGGGACAGGAAGCTAGTTTGGACTAATCAGGGTCCCCCTAGGCCAACTACTGACCTTTGTCAGTCATCTGTTATAAATTGTATCCTAACTCCAAGGTACCTATTTACAGCTAGGTGAACAGAAGCATCAGTTAAATGGAAACTGTGCCCAAACATCTGTCCTGCTTTATATAAACCAGGACCTTATTTCTTTTGGTGGGAGCTACCCTACTGCACCGATTATAGGATCGTATTGTTTTTGTGGTAACAGGTTTCATATAAAACTTCTCGAGAGGGAGAGCTTGGTTGGGCATGGCTTGTTTTTGACAAAATTTATGTAGACACAAAGCTAGACATAAATCTATGTAGACGCATAACTATGTACATCTATGCAGACACAACTATGTAGTCCCTAATTGCATGAGAATCCTGGCATGTTCAAAAAGTTACTAAATTCTGTCTACAAACACGAGCGGGCTGCAACTTAACACAGCAAGACTGTGTTAGAAACCTTAGAAATCGCGATTTGATCTCATTATCAAATGTATTCACAATTAAATAGGCGTTGCAGGGCTTCCCTGTCACATGACACGTGCATAATCAGCCTACAAAGATGATATAAGATGGGTAGTGAAGCAGCGGTGACGGCCGGCCGTCGTCTGCAGGAGTGAGGGCCGCGACCACCACACCGTCACTGACACACCACATACACCACACTCTCACCACCTCCACCAGCATCTGCTGCTGACTTGACGAATGGAGAAACCTCGCAGATGTAATACCTGGTTGTGGAGGGCCGTTGTCTGGAGGTGTGGTGGAGAGTGAAGGAAGGAAGGGCATCCGCCACCATATTGTTGTTATTGTCTCACAGCTGATCCGGCCGTCGCCACCACTCGCCCCGTCTCCAGCAAGGGCTGGCTCATCAGGGAGCTTCCTGGACACTTATAGGAGTGATCATTATCTCACTAAGGGGTTTATCTCGATCATGATGGCTGTGTTGCACTCCTTCAGTCTAAGATGACGACGGGGCACTTGTAATATTGCGTAACCCGTAGATAAATCAAGTTTTCTCTACTATATAACCTGTCTTCCTCTCCAAAAGTTAGTCGCGCAGAATGTAAATTTTCTGTATGCCAGTAATTCGTAATAAATATGTATTGTTTTGATAAAAATAAATAATATATCAAAGTATTAAAACCAGTTATCAAGCAAATAAAACTGTTAAACAGGCAAGCTAAGTGAAGTCAAAATACAGCAATTGTAAACTAGGTAATTACCTTAGTGCAATTATCTAAATGTAGTTACAGGATGAGAGCTACGCTCGTGGTGTCCCGTCTTCCCAGTACTCTTTGTCATATAACGCTTTGAAATTACTGACAGTTTTGGCCTCCACCACCACCTCACCTAACTTGTTCCATCCCTCTACCACTCTGTTTGCGAAAGTGAATTTTCTTATATTTCTTCAGCAGCTTCGTTAAGTTAGTTTAAATCTATGACCTCTTGTTCTTGAAGTTCCAGGTCTCAGGAATTCTTCCCTATCAATTTTTTCAATTCCTGTTATTATTATTTGGTACTTGATCATATCGCCTCTTTTTCTTCTATCTACTAGGTATGGCACAAGATTTATATAATCCTATATAAAAATATAGGATTATTTTTCCCTATAATTTGGCCAAAATTGCTATAATTTTTTTTTTTGGTAAAAAATGCAAAAAAAAAATGCTGTTACATTTAGTAACAGCAAATATTAATAAGTAATGCAAAATAAGGTAATTATTTTAATTACAAATAAGGTAATTAATAAGTAATGTTCACAACAACAGCAAAACACAGGTTGACATGTATGATGAGAAAAGATTAGGAACATTTGTTACATAATGTTAATAAGGCTTTGGTTTCTTTTTTTTTAAATTAGACAAGAGAAGAACAGTTTTTAATCTCATTTTGGAAGGTCATTCCATAGTTGTAGTTTAGGACCCTTGATTTGCAGAGAATTTTTTGCTTTGGTTAAGTTGCACTCTTGGGATATCAAACAGATACTTGTTTCTTATGGGTTCTGTTACAGCCTTCAAGGAAGTGCTGAAGGTTAGGATTAGAATTGCAGTACAGAGTTTTTTACATATAGAGCACACTTGTGAGGATATGCAGTGACTTGATGCGTAACATATATTCAAGGATTTCAGTAAGGGACCTGAGAGCTGTCTGGGAATGGAGTTTGTAATAGCTCTGATTGCTGATTGATGTTGAGTGGTCAAAGATAATTTTGGATTGTAGATCCCCAGGTGCAGATACCATAAGTGAGAGATGTTTAGATGAGAGAATCTTTAAAAAATATCTTGTGAGTATAGCACTGGTTAATTTATTAAAGTACATTACTGTCTATTGTTTTTATAATAGGAATTTGTTGTTGTTTATACTTAGTGTAAATAAGTAATTATCAAAGAAGGCATCAAGCCGGGAAGGCTATGTACCATTATACTAATGTAAATACTGTAATTGAATTTGCAAACAATACAGTACTGTGAATATGATGAAATATATACTGTAAACTGTATTGTATGTACAAGCTCTATCTATAAATCCAACATTGTTTGTAACTCATCTTGTATGTACGTACTTTTACCTGAATAAACATTTGATTTTGATTTGATTTTTAAAAGCAATTTATATGTCATACATTTAAACAGATTTGCACACCAACAGCCAGACCCAGAGTCTGACTCAAGTTGATTTAATTAAAAAAAAAAATTAAGACTTTTCAGACTGTTTCTGTATACAGGGTACTCTAATACCAGCACTAGACAAGAGTCATGTAGATTCAACAATTGCTTGGGATACCAAACAGCTCTATGGTCCTTTATGAAGCTTGTTAATTTTAATCTCCCAATACTAGTCATGTAATTCAAGTGTTTAGTAAGTTTATTACTATCAAGCAGTAATAAATATTTCAATTTGGCATCCCCAGCAGGCTATCGCTAACAATGTTCTGAACTTCCTTGTATCAATATACTGTACTGTCTTGTGGAATTTCATATACATACATACAGCTCACATAAATCATCCTTATTTTTGTAATCTCAATTCTTTATACCCAATATAATTTTTTTAAGAAAAAATGCATATGATAATACAGTATTGGTTTAAATCAAACAACCGTTTCAATTATTTATTTAATGTGTTTAATACCATGAAAATAACTACATATAAATATCTTGGATTTTATCCATATTTAGTCTTGATAAAAGCATTACAGCTGTATAAATATTTCTGTCAATTGTCATTGTCATATAATAATTCTGTATAACAAACAAATTAAAACACTACAGTTGTAAGTCAAAAATACTATACAAAAACTAAGAAATAACAATAAGCTTACAGACACAAAACTCCAAATGTCACCAAACTTATCATATGGCTGGTCACAATGCTAACACTCGATTCATTCATCATATGTATGAAGTCCAATAATTATCTCTAGCTACAATACTAGTACATTTCCAAAATTTAATTTTGATTTGGGAGTACAGTAATTAGAACGTTTGAATTATAGTAATAAAGTATAAAGCATCAGATTTAGCATTATTTTCAGGCTTGAAATAGTGCACATTATATTACTGTATAGAGTGAAGACAATTTGGAAGTACTGTAACTATGAACAGTATTTTTTGTATTTTTTTCAAAGATAAAAGTGCATTAACCCAGAGGAAAACTATTTTCTATAGAGGTGCCAGTATTGTATTATGAATAACAAATTATAAACAAAATATTTTTTTAGTGTACAATATGTATGCATGTATCTCTCAGTAACTCATTCACTAACAAGAAATAATAGAAAGTAAGGTAAATAATGATATGTTCACTATCTTGATATGATGCATGGTGTAGTTCAACCTAAGCACTAAACCTGCAATGAGAAGCTCAAATATCCCTGCTAAATGCAGAACTATAGTAAATACTTTAAATATTATTATGCATCTTGGCTATCATGTATGTACCATTTGCATACAACACAAAACAATATACTGCAGAAATAAATACATGTACACTCGAGACAAAAATAGCACATACCTGCATAATAATATAGTATTTAGCAAAGAGAATGATAGCAGCTATTATTACATAACCAGAAATAATATATGTTATAATTGTACTTTATGTAGTGGCATGAGCTGTATCCCAGTAGGTAAATAATTAGTTACGCTGCTGATCTACCTGTTTAAATTTTATTCCTGGTGCAGGCAGCAGACACTGTTCACTCAGTTTTCATTTCTTCTTCAGGTAGACAGATGAATGGGAAACCATGTAACTTCGGGAATTTAAACCATACCATTGTTACTGAATTAGCTAGTCAATAACATGAAACAGTAGAGTGGCTAATATATCTTGAAATATACAATAGTAATGGTGATACAGAACACAGTATGCATATAGCAAATCTCTTCAGCCCTTGTATACTCTATATTTACAGTAAGATTTTTGTTTTGTTTTTGAGAAGGAAAAAGTTATATACACATATAATACAAGTTCAAAAATTAAAAACACCCTCATGTATGAATGTACTCCAGAATTAATTTAGTTGGGTTCAGAACCCAGGATTTTCTTCTATTGAATTTATCAAACCTGCTTTTCCTAGCAAGTGAAAATAGGTAATGGTTTTGGAAATAGAATCAGTCATCTTTATCTCACTTTTGAGAGAAGTCTGTGCTACATTATCATCTCGACTCATCCTCACACTTGATGCATTATATTTGTATGCTAGGGAACCAAGCAAAGATTATGAATGCTGGTATGAAGTATAAAAACATTGGAATAGTACGTGTTTCTGAACTAACGAGAATCAGTTTCGATGGGTTAGATGGGTTGGGATAGATTCATATATTGTAGTACAGAAATAGCACACACTATTTGCTTGTCACATTATGAGACTGGACTGATTATTTTATGATTCAAAACAGATAATTTCTTGAATACAACATTCTGCCATTCAAATTAATAACCCAAGGAAGGCGGAGGTAAACTGGCCGCTGATCACCTCAGGGTCTACCACTCTGCAAGAGTATAATGTACCCTAATTAGAAATAAAATTCATGTGTTTCTTATTACAGTAGCCCAAACAGGGCATTACTTAAAATCATTTGTAAGGCAGGCATATAATAATTCTAAGGTCAAAAATAAGCAATGTCTTTTTCTCTGAAACAGTAGGATAGTATACAACACGGCTTACTGTTATGGTTTAGTTTAGTTTCCTCTTATTGTATCATATATATATATATACTGTATATATATATATATATATATATATATATATATATATATATATATATATATATATATATATATATATATATATATATAAAATTATATCATACCTTGAATGAATTGCTGACTTAATTATGTTGGTTTAGGTTAGGTTAAGATAGGTTAGGTTCAGTTAGGTTAGGTAGGTTTGGTCATATTTTTACGTTAGTTTTAATTAACTAAAATATAAAAAAAATTACTCATTATGTAATGGAAAGCTTTACCATTTCAAGACAATTTTGTTTTTAAATACAGTATATAACTAAAGGAAAACTTGGCTTATTAGGCAAATCATGCCTTGCATACTAGGCTAAACAGTGCATTATGGCTTCTAGGTACAACATATTATATATATATATATATATATATATATATATATATATATATATATATATATATATATATATATATATATATATGTCGTACCTAGTAGCCAGAACGCACTTCTCAGCCTACTATGCAAGGCCCGATTTGCCTAATAAGCCAAGTTTTCCTGAATTAATATAATTTCTCTAATTTTTTTCTTATGAAATGATAAAGCTACCCATTTCATTATGTATGAGGTCAATTTTTTTTATTGGAGTTAAAATTAACGTAGATGTATGACCGAACCTAACCAGCCCTACCTAACCTAACCTAACCTATCTTTATAGGTTAGGTTCGGTTAGGAACCCGAAAAAGTTAGGTTAGGTTAGGTAGGTTAGGTAGTCGAAAAAACATAAATTCATGAAAACTTGGCTTATTAGGCAAATCGGGCCTTGCATAGTAGGCTGAGAAGTGCGTTCTGGCTACTAGGTACGACATATATATGTATATTACATATATACCCAATTTGCTTAATAAGCCAAGTTTTCCTGGCATTATATAATTTTCTAATTTGTTTTCTTATGGAATGATAAAGCTTTTATTATATTATATATAATTATACTGTACAGTATATTCATGTTTATTTAGTAGTCCTGGTTACAGCAGTCGGTTTGTTGGTAGTGTTTTAGAAGTTGAGATGAAGCCTGGAGCAGAGTAAAGAGCTGAGTGAGGCCGAGGGTAGAGAGCTCGGATGCGAGGTGAGTGTGTAGAGTGTGGTGCTCCGAATGCGGGTGGAGTCGAGGAGCCAATTGCAAGACGAGAGCCTGGAAGCTCGATGAGGTCAGAGTCTGGATGTCTGCCTTGTGTCGAGGCTGAAGCATCTTGTGAGGGTAGGAACTCACACGTCAAATGTTACATGGTTGTTGGTGAATGTTAAAGATTGCGATATCATTCAAACATCTGTACTGAACCACTCTTGGAGTTTGACTGATGATGATTTGTTGTTGTTGTTGTTGTTGTTATAGATTCAGCTGCTGGGAACAAAAAGTTCCAAGTAGCACGGGCTATGGTGAGCCCGTAGTGGACTGTAACTTGGGATGATGATTTGCTATCGACTGCTTATACAGTATTACCAGTCCTACACCTCACCTGACCGTCCTCTAGCAGGTTTGGGAAGAGGTATTAACTGAACACTTGGGAACAGGTGTTAATTGTAATTTGTGGACTAAATAGAATTAACAACCCATTTTATTACTGTAACTGCACATAAGCTAATGAGAATATGGAGCAAGTATTACTGACATAATATACTTGCTACACTAGATGAGTGCTTAGAGAATGGCTGCCCAAAGCTCATGCAGTTTAAGTGAACAGTTTCCGATGTCCATATAAGTGAGGCTTATAAATACATGCATATGAAGCTAACGCTAAATCTTTAAACAACACACAAACAAATGGGTCCCCACAGAACAAAATACAAAAATGGCCAACACTTATCTAGGAAATAGTTGGGACCTGAAAGGCTAGCAACTCAAAAAAAAAAGTCCAAACATCTGGACATCAGGCTAAGGCCTGATTACTGTTAATATGGGAAGCCAGCAGCTCCCAATGGTGCTACCACCTGGCAGTTATCTTGAGATGATTTCGGGGCTTTAGTGTCCCCGCTGCCCGGTCCTTGACCAGGCCTCCACCCCCAGGAAGCAGCCCGTGACAGCTGGCTAACACCCAGGTACCTATTTTACTGCTAGGTAACAGGGGCATAGGGTGAAAGAAACTCTGCCTATTGTTTCTCGCCGGCACCCGGGATCGAACCCGGGACCACAGGATCACAAGTCCAGTGTACTGTCCTCTCGGCCGACCAGCTCCAGTGGCTGGCAGTGGCTGGCTGTAACCGACTAGCTGAATTTGCTCTAGCTACTGGGTGGATCGTTTGCAGAATCTTTTGCCTTTTCATTTTTCTTTTTTCTCTCTGAAACTTGCAGGTGTCTATTTACCTTTGCTTACTTTCTGTGGGTTTATTTAGTGAGGGGTGATTGTAAGAATTCCCTGCTCCCTGTGCCTCTATAAGGAAGTGGGGGCCAGGTTTTGGCCTCTGGCATCAGATAGGCAATTAAGGACTCCTAGGGCTGATGTGACTCAAATGCGTTGAGTTGTCTCAGTGTGGGTAGCTACAATGAGCCACTATCCACACCTTCCAGAAATACTTGGGCTGAACGGTAGAGCGATGGTCTCGCTTCATGCAAGTTGGCGTTCAATCCCCAACCGTCCAAGTGGTTGGGCACCATTCCTTTTCCCTGTACCATCCCAAATCCTTATCCTGACCCCCTTCCTAGTGCTATATAGTTGTAATGGCTTGGCGCTTTCCTTTGATAATTCCCTCCCTCTTCTTTCGTTCCTATTTTTATGACATTTACTCCATTCTATTCCTCAATCTTATTTACTTTTTGTCTCATATAAACCTAGTACATAAAACTTTCCTTCTTTAAAAACTGACACCATTTCCAGTTTTTTCTGTTCACCATTTATTTCTTGAACATTCCCCATAGCAAGATGTTATTGATTTGTTTTGTTATTTGAGTTATTTGAGTTGATCTGTTATTGATTTGTGAGGTGTAAGCAAGTGTGGGCCTCGGATCCAAGACTAATTTTGCACACTGCGAACATGAAGCCCCGGCTCATTTTAACAACAACCCCTATAACTCAGGGAATGCAAGGTTGTCTACACTACAAAGTCATGGATACTGGTTATTACATCTTTTAATAAATAAAAATAAAAAATAAGGAATTATTCCAGTCCAATACAGGCAGCCATGTGCTTTCCGATCCCCTCAGGACTGAGATTGAACAAATAACCTGTTGTGTTCGGATAAGTGGTTCATCATCCTGAAAAGCTAGGGGAAAAAATTGACAAAATTTTTTTTGCAGAAATTCAACAGTGTTTTGTTTGTACTCACCAATGTGAGTTCAGATCCACTTGTTAACTTGAAGATTATAGTTGGCTACTGTTATTTAGATAGAAAAGGTGGATGTTGATAAGTGTTGGGTTGACTGAAGTGGAGATTAATGGTAATGAGGTAACCTCAGCAGACTGCCTTTCACCATGTATTCTAATGCACCTAATGCCATGGCAGGGTTTTAAGTTTCTGAGCCATCCATTAGTGTATAAACACTGCTCAAGTGGCACTGTATGTATGGTCACTGGCAAACAAATTCCGTCTTTATTGCCCATTTTTATTCAAATAACTGCCCCGCCAGTTATTCAAACTTTTTATTCAAGCAAACCCAAATCGGAAAACAGGTATTTTTGTAAAAAAAGGTGTTCAAAAAGCACGTGGCTCTCTGTACAAGTATTTTAGTTTCTAATTAACATTGCACGAACACAAGGTATTGTTGGATGAAAAAATGCTGTTAGTCATACATTTATCTGAAAAGAAGATGATGATTTAAGATTGAGGTAGCAGTGCTATTCCATCATACTTGTCATTGGTATAGTTTCAAGGTTAGAGGTAATAGAGACCTTTCTGCATGAAGCTATGCCAGCAGATTTCCTGGAGGTTTCAGAAGTATCACTTAATGCTGTTGCCCTTTTGGTCTTATTGGAAGTGGAATGGAAGACACTGGAAGCCACTGAGCATTTCCTGGGAAGTGATGTAACGGAAGTTTTTCTAGAACTTTCTGACATTGCCATACTGAAGTCAGTCCCTCGCCTATTTGCATTAGGTGTGGTTGTCTGTCCACGAAAAGAAATCATTGTTTTCTGGACATTCTGAAGTCTAGGACGCCAAGCATCTTTTATCTGTAAGGACAAATTGAATCACATATATGAATGGATTCTGAATAAATCATTTTCTTATATGGCAAAATATATTTACAAATACAGTAAGTCATTGTCTCGAGGTACAGGGAGCCAGTGTATATATATATACATGTACAATATATGTTAGGGGTCATATCGTGGTTTCCCAAGGTCCAACTTCTGACCTGGCATTTAGTGGTTGGAAATTTGCCCAACCATTTCTGTCCTGCCTGGGATTTGAACCTGGAAATTGTCAACTGAATATCCCCCAAATCTCACCAATACTATGCATGTAACAAATTCTGCTGAATGTTTATATGTTCTGCCTGAACATATAAATTTTATCAAATTTTTTTGCAGTGTACCTGTTAACATTTTTCAATTTTGCTAAAAATTACCTACTTAAAATTATCGGTAAGATTAAGGACCTGCCCGAAAGATGCTATGCGTGCTAGTGGCTTTACAAGACTAGCTTTACCATTTCAACATCAAAAACATCAATGGTATGTACTCTCATAAAAAAACATTAATGGTATGTACTCTCATAAAAAAACATCAATGGTATGTACTCTCATAAACCCAATGTACCTTCTTGTATATATAAATAAAATAAAATAAAGTAAAAAATAAATAAGAAACACAAGTACGTTACAGTATTAACCACTCAGCTGCTCGTCTTCCAAATATGACACCCACCCAATGCGCAGGAAATAAATTATCTGGAAAAAATTATTTTTTGTTTTGAAAGTGTCAAAACCCCTTTGCTGAGTATGGGTATAGTAACAAAGTCGAAATTGTACGTACTTTGGCTGCTATGGGGTCCGTAAGTTCTCGCGTGATGTCATCATTCCCTGGTCGCCTGTGGCGTACGCCCCCGGGGCCAGTAGGGCACCCAGGGCAGGATGCGCGAATTGCCTCGAATATATTTTTGTTCATATTTTGCACACAGTTCCAAATACATTTTATTTGTTTTTTCGTGCTAATCCTATGTATAATGAACACGTACTCTATATTATGGCAGTAGAACATCCGTACTGTCCAAAGACACTGTGTTACGTGCATCACATGTGTACACACATATGTTGCACATATTTCCCATGCATCATGCTAATTTACATTATTATATATATATATATATATATATATATATATATATATATATATATATATATATATATATATATATATATATATATATATATATATGTCATACCTAGTAGCCAGAACGCACTTCTTGGCCTACTATGCAAGGCCCGATTTGCCTAATAAGCCAAGTTTTCATGAATAAATATATTTTCTCTAATCTTTTTCTTATGAAATGATAAAGCTACCCATTTCATTATGTATGAGGTCAATTTTTTTTTATTGGAGTTAAAATTAACGTAGATATATGACCGAACCTAACCAACCCTACCTAACCTAACCTAACCTATCTTTATAGGTTAGGTTAGGTTAGGTAGCCGAAAAAGTTAGGTTAGGTAGTCGAAAAACAATTAATTCATGAAAACTTGGCTTATTAGGCAAATCAGGCCTTGCATAGTAGGCAGAGAAGTGCGTTCTGGCTACTAGGTACGACATTATATATATATATATATATATATATATATATATATATATATATATATATATATATATATATATATATATATATATATATATATATATATATGCATATGCATATGCATGCATGCATATGCAGAATAACCACATGTGAAAAATAGAAAATGCTTAATGCGTTTTCAGCTAATTCGCCTTTATCAGAGCAAAGTAGAATGAAGATAAGAAAACATCTAAGAAAACATTTTTAATAATTCATTTTATAAACAAACATTTGGCATGGCGATGGGTAATCCCCTCTCCCCTGTTTTGAGCAATCTGTACATGGAATGTTTTGAAACAAATATCCTTCCCAGGATTTTACCCTCAAATTTGCTTTGGTATAGGTATGTTGACGATATTTTATGCCTGTGGCCTAAAATATCGTCATGACGAAATAACCATGACGAAACTGATTTTCTCAAATCAAATTAATTCGCTGGTTCCGTCAATTAAATTCACAATTGAGAACGAAGTGAATGGTGTTCTGTCTTTTTTAGACATCATGATTCATAGAATTGGTAGGAGTTTCAAATTCAATGTGTATAGGAAACCTACCAATGTGTGCTCGTATGTACATTTTTATTCAAATCATCATGTTCAGGTCAAGCGGGCAGTTTTTTCTGGTATGTTTCTCAGAGCACTGAGAGTTTGCAGTCCGGAATTTTTTGATGAAGAAATAGCAAATATATTTGAAATTGGGAAGAAGTTAAAATACCCAAAATCGATCTTGGATCTTGCGTTTGGTCAAGCAAAAAGGACTTTCTACAAACAGACTACTAAGCCTAAACCAGAACTGAAAAATTCGTTGGTATTACCATATTCTGATGGTCTAGTAAATCTTGCCCCAGACCTGAAGAACCTTAATATTAATCTTGTGTTCAAAAATGAAAATACATTTAAGTCCATATTAATTAAGAACTCGCCCTCGTCTGTAGCAGGTTGTGTGTATTCCATCCAGTTCATAGACAACTGGGAACACTTCTATGAAAGAAATGAAATGTATGCTCGTGATGGGGTGCATCTATCGAGAGCTGGGGTTATTGCTGTTGCGAACTCGTTGGAAGAAGTAATTACCTAAGTGTAATTACCTAAGTGTAGTTACAGGATGAGAGCTACGCTCGTGGTGTCCCGTCTTCCCAGCACTCTTTGTCATATAACGCTTTGAAACTACTGACGGTCTTGGCCTCCACCACCTTCTCACTTAACTTGTTCCAACCGTCTACCACTCTATTTGCGAAGGTGAATTTTCTTATATTTCTTCGGCATCTGTGTTTAGCTAGTTTAAATCTATGACCTCTTGTTCTTGAAATTCCAGGTCTCAGGAAGTCTTCCCTGTCGATTTTATCAATTCCTGTTACTATTTTGTATGTAGTGATCATATCACCTCTTTTTCTTCTGTCTTCTAGTTTTGGCATATTTAATGCTTCTAACCTCTCCTCGTAGCTCTTGCCCTTCAGTTCTGGGAGCCACTTAGTAGCATGTCTTTGCACCTTTTCCAGTTTGTTGATGTGCTTCTTAAGATATGGGCACCACACAACAGCTGCATATTCTAGCTTTGGCCTAACAAAAGTCATGAACAATTTCTTTAGTATATCGCCATCCATGTATTTAAGTGGTTAGAGGTGTTTGTTTGGGTTTAAACTGTTAGTAGATAGAGGTATGGGAATTGATTTGGAGGAAGGAGGTAATAAAAGTATGTGTTTGTGGGAGAAAGGAATTGGCAAAATGATCAGGGAAAGAGAAGGGCCGCAAAATAACAATTCACTTAGGGTATATTACACTAACAGTAGAAGTGTAAGAAATAAAATTAACGAATTAAATGCTCTTGTCTGCACAGAAAAAATAGATATTATTGCACTTACCGAAACGTGGATGAATGTAGAAAATAGAGAACTATTAGCTGAATATCAAATAAATGGATTTAAACTATTTCACACAGATAGATATATTAGACGAGGAGGTGGAGTAGCCATATATGTTAGGGACAATTTGAAATGTAGTCTCAAAGAGGGAATCAAAACTGAGCCACACACAGAAACTATTTGGATAGAATTAAACGAAAAAGCTAATAATATTATAATAGGAGTTATATATAGGCCACCAAATTTAGACAGAATGGAAGCAAAGCACCTATGGGATGAAATATCTTGAGCATCTAGATCTAACAGTATTTATGTCATGGGTGACTTTAATTTTAGCGGAATAAACTGGTTGAACAAAACAGGGAATAGTGAAGCAGAAGATTTTCTAGAATTAATTGATGATTGCTTTCTTACGCAACACATTAAGGAACCAACATGGGAAAATAATATTTTAGATTTAGTGTTAACTAACAGGGAAACACAAATTAATGACATCGAAATAGGGAGTGAGCTAGGGAACAGTGATCACAAAGAAATCAGATTTAGCATAGAATGGAATAGACCAGTAGGAGAAAATTCTGTTAAAGTGCCAGATTTTCGAAAAGCTGATTTTAATAGCCTAAGAAATTTTTTGGGTCAAATTGATTGAAAAGTCTTGGGTATGGGGTGTGGGCCGGTCTTGGAGCGAGACATGAACCCAGCGATAGGTGACTTAAATGGGGATTTCGATGTGGATTCAATATATAACTTATTTAAGAATATTCTAAACAAAGCACAGGAACGTAGTATACCATACAAATTGAATAGATCGAAAACTAATGACCCAAAGTGGATAACAAAGAATTTGAAGAACCTTATAGGTAAAAAGAGAGCTTGATACAAAAGGATTAAAAATGGGGAGGTCACTTTAGAACAGGAATTCGTACAACTGGTTAGAAATGTTAAAAAAGAGATAAGGAAAGCAAAAAGAAACTATGAAGTTCGCATAGCAGGGCAAGCAAAGACAAATCCTAAAGGGTTTTTTCAGTTATATCGTACTAAGACTAGGGAAAGGATAGGTCCATTAAGAACTGAGACTGGTCAAATAACAGATAGTGATGAAGAGATGAGTAGTATTTTTAATAAATATTTTGTATCTGTATTTACTAAAGAGGAACTTAACAATATGCCTTCAGCCGAACAAGTCTATGTGGATGGGGACGAGGACAGGTTGACGAGTTTAGCAGTTACCAGGGAGGATGTTCTTAAACAAATAGTAAAACTCAAACCAAACAAATCCCCAGGGCCGGATGAAGTGTTTGCCAGGGTGCTTAAAGAATGCAAAGAGGAGCTTTGTGACCCACTGTCAACCATATTTAATAAATCAATAGAGTCAGGCAGAGTGCCAGAGTTTTGGAAAGTTGCTAATGTGATACCAGTTTTTAAGAAAGGAGATAGATCACTTGCGTCTAACTATCGACCAATTAGCCTAACATCTATTGTGGGAAAGTTACTCGAATCTATAACAGCAAATAAAATTCGTCTTCATCTTGAAAAACA